TAGTAAACTGGGACTGAATTATAAAGTTTTATGGCAAAAACCGGTTTGGCTCAATGGATAGAGTGTCAGCCTGGGGACTGAAAGGTCCCGGGTTCGATTCCGGTCAAGGGCATGTACCTTGGTTGCAGGCATATCACCAGTAGGGGGTGTGCAGGAGGCAGCTGATCGATGACTCTCTCTCATCGATGTTTCTAACTCTCTGTCTCTCTCCCTTCCTCTCTGTACAAAATCAATAAAATATATATATATATAAAAGAGTTTTATGAATCTCTTAAAAGTTATAGGTGTGGATTTTATTTATATGGGGAATATTTGAAGATTTTATATTAAACATTTTATAACCATATTAGCTGTTGTGGGTAAAATGGATTAGAAAGAATAAAGGGGAGAACAAAGAGAAAGTTAGGAGGCTGTTGCTGATAGGTGTTGGATTGATTATGACTGTGCGGTTGGTAGGTGAATAAATATATATTAAGGGAGAACTGAGTAAGTATTGCGATCAATTGGATGTGGGTGATGAGGGATAGATAGGAGCTGACTGAAGTGGCCAGGTGAACTTATCCATCTTGAAGCAGGTCCTATTCAAACACCAGGAAAACAGAGACAAAGTATATTGCTCTGGGGAGAGACTAATATTAGACAGGGTGTCAAGATTCTAGCCAAGTGATTTGGGATTCAGGGAAGGTTTATAGTCCTTGTAAAAAAAAAAATAGAATATTATTATAGGCTGAATTGTGTCCCTAGTGCCTGAGATTGTGACTATTGGAGACAATGTCTTTAAAGAGGTAATTTAAGTTCAAATGAGGTCACGAGGATAGGCCCCTAATCCATATGAGTTGTCTCCTTATTTTAAGAAAAAAAAGGAAATTTGGTCATAGATACAGACAGAAAGAAGATCATGTTAAGAGATAGAGAGAAGATGGCTATCTACATACCAAGGAGAGAGAACCTCAGAAGAAAATAAGCCTACAGACAACTTGATCTTGGACTTCCAGCCTCCGATTGTGAGAAGATAAATTTCTGTTGTTTAAGCAACAAAGTCTGTGGTACTTCACTATGGCAGACCTAGCAAACTAATATGTGTCCACTTGAACTTAAGCCCATTCAAATCAGAGAGGGTACAAGGCAATATGGGTGTGGGGAAGGGGCTGAATTATATAGCTCAGGAAGCAGGGCCAATGGGGCCCTTTGGATAGTGATCTTCTAGCTAGGAGTTAATTCCAAACTCCATCTACTGTAGGGATGGGAGCTTCTGATATTTCCCAAATTTAATTCTCATTGGCTCAATGATCAAGCAGAGCAGAGCTATAAGTGGAAAGTCTTTAATTCTGATGCTGGGCAGAGTTAGAAGCAAGCAGGGGTTGACTGATCATCTCAATATTTTAAAATAACCAACTGGATGTCAACATAGAGCAAAAATAAATGATAGGTATGGTCAAGATAGACTTGATAAACAATTTAGATATTTGTACTTGCACATTCCTTGGATATTAGACTAAGAAATCCAAGTAAATATATGTGTACTAATGTTTAATCAACATACTTCATTTCATATCCTCTTCAGTGGATCAACCATTACCCTTGTTTGCTTCTATTATTGCAGCTTCTGTCTCAGTCTCCTAGTAATGAGATCAAGGTAGATGATGAGGCATGAATATATGCATTGCCATGATATTCTCATTTGTCTGTATACATTTGTTTAGGATGGGATCACTTAGAAATTATTCTAACCTCCTTGTTCTAGTCTCCTAAGTTCAATGATAGAGTTTAGATTCTTCCTTTGCAATTAGATACTTTTACATCCATCCTTTCTTTTTACATTTCTACATATCCTAGTTTAGGCTATTTTTTAATCCTGCCTGATAGCTTTTTAATCCTGCAATAGCTTATTCACTGTCCTGCTTATCTCCTGGGTCTCTCCTCACCACCTAAATCTATCCTGCAGAAAATCTTTAGAGAACATCACGTTGACTACAATGACATTTTTCTATTTGTTAACCTCCAACAGCTCCTGATTGTGTATAGGGACAAATGTTAACACTCAGTCTAATGTTCAAGGCTTTGGGAATCTGGCCCCCTCTAACATATTTCTATCTTATTTTCATCTGCCCTAGCTTTCCAAATCTTCAAATGCATTGAAGTGTTTTCAGGCATTACCATCCATATGCCTCCATGCAGCCCTGTGCTTTCCACCCCCACACTATTGTTCATATGGTTCCACCTCTTATCTACCTCCTTTCCTGTGCCCTTCCTATCCTCTAAGAATGCCTCAAATCCCAGAAGCTTTTGATCTTGTTTTTCTCCTAGTGTGACATCCTCTTCTCTGCTTATCCATCTTTCAAGGCCTACCATAATTTCTACCACATCTTGAAATCTCTCCTAACCATCCTGGCAGTTAATCCTTTGTGAAAGGCTACTTACTGAGGGGCATTTAGGTGATAGATGCTGTCTGAACCCTAGGGATCATGGTTGATAAAATGTTCATAGCTCCTCATTTCCAGGACAAGGTGTTCTTCTTCCTTATGTGCCTATTGCAGTTAATGCCCAAAGAATTGTTTATTAACAATGTAATTTATTAGGAAATTAATTCTGTTTTGAATTGCCAATTAAATTTCATTGATTTAACTTTTTAAGAAATGGTTTATGTTTCCCAGTTAGATAGTAAAGGCTTTGCCCCCAGATGATCTAGTTTGAGAGAGGGGTACACCATTACATACCAGGCAATGAGGTGCACTTTTGCTAATGCTCCTTCATAGTGTGACATGGCTAACAGTCCCTTTTCTGGGACACAAAAAACTCATGATTTTACAAATAATGTTACTTAAGATAAGACTAAAGTGGATAGTCTCCATTTAAATCTTTTGAAGAGTGAGTTGATTTTAATAAAAATTTAGAGGCCTGGTGCACAGGTCCCTAGACCTGGCCTGCAGCTCTGTGACATCCCCTGAGAGGGTCCCAGATTGCAAGAGGGTGCAGGCCAGACTGAGGGACCCTACAGGTGCACAATCAGAGCTGAAGAGGGACCATGGGAGGTTGGCCAGCCGGGGAAGGACCAAGGAAGGCCTCCAGGACTCCAGGGCATATCTGGCCCATCTTGCCCAGTCCCTATCAGCCAGACCCCAGCAGCAAGCTGACCTACTGTTGTAGCGTCTGCCCCCTGGTGGTCAGTTCACGTCATAGTGCCTGGTCGAACGGTCAAATGAATGGTAGGACACTTAGTTAGACCTTGAAAGATAGGTGGGCAGATGGGTAGGCTTTTATTATATAGGATATTAACAATGGTTATAACAAAAGTATGGCAAATCCTATAGAAGTGGTTCTTTAATTATTAGAACAGTATTATGTAATATCACACTTATTTCTGAGAACAACCTTGCAAATTAGAAACTAAACTTCAGACAAACATTGGAACTTATTTAAGTCAGAAAGCTAATGGGTCATGATGCAAGTTCAGGTGTTGGTACCTAGGCCTCTAACAAAAGCTCTCAAGTTTCCCCTTTACCATGATGCTCTTTTACATGTAGGAAGATTTTGTGTAATTAACTGTGTGTCTGACTTGTGCTTTTACACCCCACATCATCTCCTCAGAAAGGTTTACTTTCTAAATTAAGTCCTTCACCTCCAGAAATATAAAAGGAGAACCAGAATGAAAGTGGTGTGTTTCTAAGCACATTTAAATCACATACAAGGAAAAGGAGCCGATTTCCTGCTTGGCAGAGTGAAACATTAATTCTTCACCTTGGCACCTCAACCTACAGCTGTAATAAGGACCGCTATGCCCAAATAGGCCCTTAAACGGAAGACCTGCTGAGCAGAGACCCACTTTCCCAGCCCTGCTCCAAGACCATCAGCTTTTCTGCCAACTGACCAGGCGGAAGCGGCAGCAGGGGAGGAGGGCCTGCAGGTAGGTGGGGAGGGGATCATTTTGAAAGCCCCAGATCCCTTGCAGGGAAGAAGCAGCTGCTCCTTCTTTCTCTAACATCTGTCCCCTCTGTCCCTGGCTGCACGTCACTCTTTGGAGGCTTGAGCTAGCTAAACGTGGGGATGACAAGAAAGCACTTCTGAAGGCCGGTTGGCGGGTGGAAGTTAGCATAATTGTCACCAGGAAGTTTCTTCCGATGGGAAGAAGGCAATTGGAGTTCTCAAGGAGGATGGTTACTACCTTACTTCATTTCCCTCACAAAACATACAGTTTTAATGATCAAGACTGGGATTTATACTGCCTGAGGATATTATTTCATTAAACAGCGCCCAATTAAAAATTTTAACCTCCAGGGGATCCACAGGCTACTGATTTGGGAAAGAGATAATGCTACTGCACACGTTGTACCACCTTTATGGTATACTAACCTGTGCATATCACGCATGTGTGGCTTTTATCACTATTAACAGCGTGTTGCTTGCATCTCACTCCCCTGTAAACACGGTGTTCCTCGAGAATGGGGAACCTTATTATTATTAAATTATTTTCTCCTCGTGTTCAAAACTCTGGTTGTATTATAACCTGACAAGCATGAAATAGACATTTATAAACGAATGAACGTTAACCAAGAAAAAACAAAGGAAGAGGATAATTCATTTGGTTCTCCCAAAGCGGCAGTGGAGACTGGGGCCTGGATTTAGACCGTGTCACCAAGGAAGGCCCAGTCCCAAAGGTCCACAGCTTCGGCTCCGGGCACCCCGGCGGAGTGGGTCTGAGTCGGCTCCGCCCCCCAGGCGCGCGCGGCCACGCCCCCTCCCGGCCACGCCCACTGAGACCTGCGCTCCACGCTGTACAAGTTAGGGGCGGGGCCAGAGGAGCGCAGGCGCAATGGGAGGCGGAAGTAGCTACTCTGGCAGAGGGAAAGGGACTCGGCGGCGCTTCGCGAAGGGCAACGCGCTCAAACTCCCGTCCTCCTCCGGGAAGCCCGGGGCGGCTGCACGTGCGGCCTCGCCCAGGCTCCTCCCCTCCCCGCCCCCTGCCCGGGTGTGGCCTCGCGGCTGCGTTCTCCGTCGCCGAGATGGCGCTCGACCCGGCAGGTACGCGGGCGGGAAGCGGGGGTTGTTGCTGAAGTCTCGGCCCGGGGCTGTAACCGCAGGCCTGCGGGCTGGGGCCGCCCAGGAGAGGCGCTGGCTCTGCGGTGGCACCGCTTCCGCAGACGTCCCCTCCCGCCCGGCCGGCTGCTTAGGGGGTTTGGTCAGCCCCGGTTCCTTCCCTGGGGCTCCGGGTCGTCTTCCCGCTCCTCGTGGTTAGGGTTAGGCAAAGGCATTGGGTTTCTTGTCTAGGCTCCAGTCCATTTGTGGCTTACAAACATTTTCCTCCCCAACGCGACTGGTTTCTTCATCCTCATTCTCTTTTTTTCGCCTCTTTGAGACACAGCCTCCTTTAAATATCTGTAGCCTAACTTAAACACATCAACACACAGGATCGATCCCTGTGGGAAGAGGCAGTTTCTTTGGAAAGGATCACCAAAGTCATCATCATTGTTATTTTAACGTAGATGCTCTCACCCCACTCCCATTTGCAACAGTAATTTTAGTTTCCCTCGAATTCCCGCCCTTAAGGAAGCTGACCTGTGGTAACTTTGCTTTAGGCTCTTTTATGTAAGAACATAGTACAGACAACGTGATTTTTGGAGGAAATAGTGATTGATATAATTCATTACCTTCATTTTAAGGGCATGAAAACACAAGGCATTGGGAGGAGAAATGGTTTCAAACCTTTGGAGATTCAGAAATGAAAAAAAAAAAGGTCACTTTGGTGGACTTCAAGGAGAAAGCAACACGTATTGCTGACAATAGATTTATTGCACACTCTTATCAAACTTCTCAATTATCCAGCAATAGCATGGTATGGTAGATCTCTGTTATACAGATTTGGAAACTGAGGTTGAGAGGATAAAAGAATTTGAAGCATAAAAAAACACATGCAGGTCATACCAATATTGGGCCAGGTGATTGGGTCAGACTTTATGAAGCAGTTAACAATTGATCTGGGTTTTGAAAGATAGAATAGGTGAAGATGTGGCAGAATAAGCAAATGTGAGTCAGGAAAGTGCACCATGTGATGTTTGGTTGCAGGGTGAATACTTGGATTTGGCTGGTGGGGGTAGGAGGAGTGTCAGTGAGGAGTGAGTATGGAAAGTTCAGATTGGAAAGCAGATGAAGGCCTATATAGTATTTCTGAGCTGGAAGGGACATTCATAGTAACCTCATACCATACAGAGGTTAAAGGCTTTTGTTTGCCTTTATTTTTGAATTTAGACAGGCAGGGAAATTTAGAAAAAAATCTTCATACCTGCTGTCTACTTTCTTACTGTCCAGAGTCTCTTAGCCCACTCCAATCTTGTGCTGTGTTCAAGGCCACACAGCTAATTGCTGGTAGAGCCAAGTCTAGATAGAACTCAAATAATTTCCTTTCCAGCCCATTGTTGTAGATGCAGTCTCCCTCCCTCCCCCCATTTGAGTATTTATTGATTAAACAACTACTTGTTGAGTGCCCATTATATGTCATGTATTGTTCTAGGCCCTAGAAAACTGGTAGGTAGAACAAACAACATCCCTGCTTCAAATAGAGCTTGTGTTCTGGTGGTGGAAGAAATAAGACAACCACCACTTCCCCACCTTAGACACACACTTGTATGGACTGTGATAAACATTATGAAGAAGATAAGCAGTGTCCTGTGGTAGATGGTGAAGAGAGGTCTATTTTAGATAGTGGTCAATCAAGAACACTATGAGGAAGTGTCAATTGTCACCCTGGCCGGGAGGACAATGCTGAGTAGATGCTTGGAGACCAACTAAGAGATGTTAGAGATTGATAGGACCTGCTGTTACACTGAATAAGGGTGGTGAGGGAAAGGAAAGTATTAAAGATAATTCCTCAGGCTTTTTACTTTAACAACTGGGTGGATGATAATGGTCAATCTAATGACATGATCACTGGGAACTGAAGACAAAAGCGAGGATGGAAGCAAGATTAAAATGGAAAGTAAGAAAGTGGAGTCAGCAAGAAGAAAGATCTTAGAGGAAAAAATTCTTTATCTGTTTAAACTCCAGAATACAAGTGTGTTGAAGTCAGCTCTTTTTTTTAAAACATTGTTTTTATTTGGTTCAGAAGTTGAAACATAGGCTCACATTTTGATATTTCTCTTGCTTTTTTACAGTCCACAATGATAATGTGCCCAAACTGAGTAGATAGTTATGCTAAATGAGGTTTCTATAACGACTTTGTTTTCCCGTTGGCTTATATTACACTTTTTGAGATTGTAAGTTTGATATTCACTCATCAGTTTCTAAGGAACTGTAGAGTCCACTTTTCTCAAGAAACTCTGAACCGACTGAAGAATGAAATAAACCCAGGTGGCATATTTATTTATTTATTCATTTTTTAAAAAAATATATATTTTATTGATTTTGTACAGAGAGGAAGGGAGAGAGGTAGAGAGTTAGAAACATCAATGAGAGAGAGTCATCAATCAGCTGCCTCTTGCACACCCCCCACTGGGGATATGCCCGCAACCAAGGTACATGCCCCTGACCGGAATCGAACCCCGGGACCCTTCAGTCCCCAAGCTGATGCTCTATCCATTGAGCAAACCGGTCTCAGCGCATATTTATTTTTATACATAGTTTTATTTAAACTATTTTCCTTTATGTTAGCGTCGAGGTAATAATAGCACTCCTTGTAAGTTTATTATCCATAATTGTGTTCATTATTTTCCCTTACTATCTGATTGCTGAGAGGAAAAGCTGGAGTGAGTCCAAAACACCCAGGAAAAGTGGCTGTAGCATTTGAGAAAAATACTAGGGCCTCGGTTGCCCAAGCCTCTAGCATGTAAAAATACTCCATAGACAATATGCAGAGTAGAGGAGAACCACTATTTTTGAACTCTTCCCCTTTTATTGACTAGTCTTTTGGCTTTGTTTTCTTATCAGTCTAATCTTCTGATTCCCAGAAGAAATTCTCTGCATCTTTAGCCATAAATTGGACCTATGATTGCATAATAATAATAGAGAAATATTTAGTATAACTTATTCAGTACTAGGACTTAAACATAGCAAATCTTATTCCGAGCGCTAGCTTCTTTACCAATTTATAAACCTTTCCACAAATATTGTATATTTTTAAAAATCTGGTAAATGTAGGTGATTGAAAATTTAAAAGGTGGCTTATTTTGAATGTATAACCCATGATCATCTCTAGAAACAATGTTAAAAGTGATGCTTGTTAAAGTAGAATTTTAAAAAAGATAAAATTATTACACATGCAAATATAAAATGAATACATGCTGAAGATTTTCTTCAACTTGTTAGTTAGTGAAGGAACTAATAAGATGTAAAAAACAGTTCAGAAAGTATTTGAGAAGTTAGATACATAGACAGTTTCATAGATTGCTGGCTTAGTTGAAAGCTGGTTTATTTAAAACAGGATCATAGACTATAACCTTTTGGGCCTTTCTCTTCCACCTGTCAAAAATTATTTCTCTCTCTGTTTGACACCTAGAAGTTAAACTGCCCCTTAACAAGTTGTAAAAAAGCCCATTAGTGGAAAGTCAAGCCCAGTACTAGTCCTGAAAGAACATCCTGTTAGGCCTTTGCTATTTTCAGATTCCCAATAAATATTCTAACATGATTATATACCCAGATGACAACTCATAGGAATGGGCCTGATCATTTTGATTTCTGATTTTTTCTAATAACTAGAAGAGACTCCTTCCTCCCTATTTTTTTCCCCATCTCTCCTTTAGAATAAGAAGTTTTCCTTCCCCCTTCAATTAATAGGGATTTATTTTCTACTTTTGCACAATAGGGCAGGGGCAGCATGAGAAGTTTCTTTAATCAACGTGTCCTCATCTGTGTGTCTGTCCCTGTCCTTCCATTCATGTTTTAGCCCAGAAATCTAATTAGGGGAGGAGGATAGGACAGTGATAGCGCTCAAGGGGGGGGGTAGACATGGGATCAGAGGTTTTATGACATTGTATTAGTAGATCTTTAAAGTATATGTATCTTGAGAAGATGTCATTCTAGTAGCTTTTAGAGTCTGGGCTGTAGGAGTTCTTTCAGTGGTTCCAGTGGGGATGTAGGTAGATTAGCCTTAGGGGTACAGCATTTATATTTATTGGAAATTTTAAAATTTTGAGTTAGATATCTCAACAGATTTAAAAAAAAAATTGAGCATTATGTAGTTAATATGTTGTTGATTAGAAAATTTTTGATTTTATTATTGCTACTATCTACAGGATTTTCTTAGACCTGCATTGTATTCATAAAACTAAAAATCTGGTTAACTTCTACATTTTGTAAATTTCTAAACTTAAAGTATGTTTGTACTAAAAAGTACATTGTTTTTTCTCACTAGATTAATTTAACAACCCTCTAATGGATTGTTCACTGAAAGTTGAAAAACATTAGCTTACGTAAAAAGCACAAGAAAGAGTTGACATCAAAGAGAAAGGTGCTGTGGCATTGGAGGGGTTGTCAGTTATGAAATCTCCTGTAAACATTTTAAGGAGTTTGAATTATATTCTAAGAACAGTGGGAAGACATTGCAAGTTTTTAGGTAAGGGGTGACATGTAGAACTTCATTTTGTGTTGATTGACTTTTGATTAGATAGAGGTTATGCATTCTCAGCAAATACTGTGTAAGTGGTATATTTTTCTCAGAATATCATTTCTGGAGGCACATGATGTGTGTCTGTCTCTCAAAGGTAGTATGAATTTTGATCATGTAGTCAAGGTCTTGTCCCACTGTGGGATCAGGCCTAAACCAGCAGTTGGACATCCTTCTCACAATATGGGACTGCCAGCTCCTAACCACTCACCTGCCTGCCCCTGATTGCCCCTAACAGCTTCTGCCTGCCAGCCTGATCGCCTCATAACTGCTTCCAACAACTGCTATCCCCTGTTGGCCATCTTGTGGTGGTCATCTATAGTAGCCATCTTGTGATGACATCACACTGTGCCACCTATGCTTTTATTTTATAGGATTATTAGAGCATTTTTGAGCATCTTTTTTTCCTCACACAAGATGTCCCTGG